AGATAAAGGCTTACTATTCCTTGTTTCCCACTGGTAGGAAGTAATTACAAAAATTACTTTAACACAAAGCTTCTGGTGAGTGAATAGTTTGTAATTTGATGGGAGAAGCCTAAGGGCCTAGGGATTAAATTTTTTTTAAAAATATGAAAAGCTGAATGATGTCATACAAGTGGAGCCCCTCTTTCCCCCACCCCCGAATAGACTGCCTAAAGCAAAGTTCTTATTGATGACAGTGTAGACAATCTTAAGAGATGGTCAAGGGTAGGTTTTGTTTTTCATGAGTTTAGATTCAACTGATTGATTTAACAGTGGAGGTGAACTTTATGCCCCTTTATTAGCTGATTAACCATGTCACTACCAAGTGAAATTTCAAAACCAGTAAAATATTAAAAAAAATTTTTGTCTAAACCAAATGTCCAAAAATGGATGGGATTTCCATCCTCCCAAAGCAGAAATCAAAAAAAGAAGTAAATTCAACTCTCCCCACAATGATGAAGCAGACAAGCTTTTTTTTTTTTTTTTATCATAAACATGCACAGTTTGTTTGTTGTTTAATGAGAAGGACAGAACTTCTTTGCCAGAAACTGGCAGTACTATGTGTTATAAACACCTGCCAATTCTGCACTGGAAGAGATTATTTATATTGCCAAACATAAAACTGTTTTAGGTCTTAAAACAGTAATTCCAAAGCAGAGTACTGCATCTGTGATTTTACAAGTTCAATATATTTTCAAACAGTTCTTCACATTTGTCCACATTTCAGAAACAATACAATTTCCTTATTAAGAGTCAAGGAAAGAAAATCTGTGTGATATATGGAAATAGTTGAGATAATATATTATCTCAACAGGTTCAAAGCTGTGACTTTTATTGGAAACCTAGATAAATATTCTAAGAGGATAAGGAATCAAACAGATGTTGATTTTTAGTTGAGTGGAATAGTTTAGGGTTCATGAGTGTTCATAAATAGCTCAGAAGCATACTTTTTGCTTTGCTTTTAGCTTTGTTTTTGTTTTTTAAGACACAACGTCCTCCCTTCCTGCATTGATAGGTAGGAAGCATCTTTCATGGGCTTCCAATTCTGTGCAAGGTGTGCACCTTCTGATTCTCATTGATATAAAGTTGCAAAAGAGAGAGTAGAAGGCAAGCAGAGACATTCAAAGCATCCACAAGGCAATTCTTGCCTCCTGACTCCAAGCTAATCTCTACCCATCCCTACCCCAACATGTATATAAGGGCATTCATTCACTGACTCTGAGACATGATTATGAAAATATACCGTGCATTTTTTAATTCACTCACTATTCCAATGGATCTTCAGACTCAATATACCAAACTAAAACCCCTTGTCATTCTCCAACAAGCCTATTTCTGTTTTTCACTTTAAATACCTGAATTCTGGAAAGAGAATCCTCTGGTCTTTCAAATTAGGATTCTGAGTCATCCTTGTTTACTCTCTCTCCACCCCTGATATATTCTGCATCAAATAACTCTGTCAGTTTTACTTAAATATCACTCCAATTTTGCTCTTTCTCTCCATCTCACTATTACCACCTAGCTTAGGTTATAACTGGTTTTAATATAGAATATTCCCACTAAATTACAGAACTCAAACAAATGATAGCTCTGAGCTGCTAAGGTAACAAAGCAAGACGTGTGGCCAGGCAATTATGGGGATTACCCACAAAATACAGCAAAATATTCATTTACAGGGGCCCTAATGCTGAAACTCTATTGGGTCAGAAGTGCCTTATTTATGATAAAAACTTTTCCTGATGACCTATCAGAAAAACTTGACACCAGGCCCCTTAAATGCATTTCTAAGTACATCTTATGTATTTTCATCTCCTTCTTATAACTTATTGAAAAAAGACCTCATGTGTCTCCTAAAATAACCACATGAATTGATCCTGACAAAGCATTATGTTATATGATACTATAGTTTTCATTTATAAATACATTGTTAAAAAAATTCCTAATGTTTATTTCACTTTTTGTGAGAGACAGAGACAGAGCATGAGCAGGGGAAGGGCAGAGAGAGAGGGAGACACAAAGTCAGAAGCAGGCTCCAGACTCTGAGCTGTCAGCATAGAGCCCAACGCGGGGAATGAACTCACGAACCGTGAGATCATGATCTGAGCCGAAGTTGGACACTCAACTGACTGAGCCACCCAGGCGCCCTTCAATATACTTTTTAAACCTACAATCTGTTCAGTTTTACATTTTAGAATGATGGAATAAAGTATAAAAATATATTTTTAATTTCACTTGGAAAGTATGTAGTCCATGAAAAAGCTTGGCTCTCAGTCCTGTGACAAAGAAGTTAAAAGCAGAATTTTAAAGTTATAGTATAGTACTTAAAGTTCTGAATCTGAATCTCTTTTTACCCTAGGAAGACATTTCCATTTCTAGAATATATGTTTACAATTTAAGATTCTCAAAAGGAAGTAAATTGATATCATCAGCAATTCAGTTCAATCAGAACTTCACAAAGAAAATAAAAGTTACATGGTAAGGTTTATCAGGGAATATTCTATGTTCTATTTTGTGTCAAGTTTTAAGGTTATTGAGAATTAACAAAGGAACTCCTCTCCCTTTGACCCATGATTGCTGAATATCTTTCCAAAATGTATTTTGTGGCCTATTTCAACTATAAAGTAATCTTCTATTCAAAATTGAAAAACTAAAAAAGGTTTTCAGTGTCTGCATTCTTTAGACACCTCATTATAAAATCTGTGTTAAGTTGATGTTGATGCTACTAGAATTGATATTTTAAATGATTTTCTAAACTAATGCCCCAATTTCCTTAATCTCATCTAATTCTTTTAAATTTATATGCCCTAATGACTAAATTATTTTTCCTAATCTAGTATCTAGAAATACAATAGGTATTAAACATCATTATTTCTTATAATTTTATTAATTCAATAAAAAGATCTTCTTTCCTTCTCTGTAAATAATACAGTACTGGTACTGAAAAGTACCAGTATGGATACCTTCAGGCACTGAAATGAATCATCTATTGCTTGGTGAAACCATCGGTATGACAGAGGAGCAACTGAGAAGAAAGTCATAGTGACTTATCTGGTTTCTAGTCCTCTAATACAATTCTAGAACATGTGGGCTATGCTTTTCTAAAAGATATTTAACTACTACTTCACAAAAGATATTAGATATTACTAACAATTAAGCTCTAGAAAAAGTACTGTATTCTCCTACCTACCCTTTGATATAACCAGTCTTCTGATTTAGAATGACATTTTTAAAACATGAAAATAAAAATGGTAACTAATAGCAACATATTCCCAACATGAAGGCAAGCAATGCCTAAAGGTTCAACTTTAATTAAAACTCCTAACATATATATCTTTGTCTAAAATTATTACTATTAATAATTAATAGCAATAACAACAGCTACCATTGATTAAGGTAGCTTATTGTTGAGGGCTACATTCAACAATTTGCAAATACTATTACTAATACTATAATTGTGCAATGTATTTTAATGCTTTATTCTCAGATAAACTGAGGCTCAAAAAGGTTAAATACTAATCTAAGGTAACAGAACAACTTGACGTTTTAGAGCTACTACTCACATTTGTCTAAATGCACAGTATACTCTCTTCTGACTACATCATGGTGACCCTATAGAAGATGCACACATTTCACACTATTAATTCAGTGCTGTTACTTCAAGTCAGGTATTTCTCAAAAATTCTTCAGGCTGTGTTAATTTAAAATTTTTTTTAAGTTTATTTAGTTATTTTGAGAGGAGAAAGCAAGCATAAGCTGGGGAAGGGCAGAGAGAGATAGAAGAAAGAGAATGCCAAGCACGGAGCCCAAACCAGGGCTCAATCTCACTAACCATGAGATCATAATCTAAGCTGAAATCAGGAGTCAGACACTTAACCACCTGAGCCACCGAGTGCTCCAAATTTTAAATTTAAACTGTGCTATTCTACCAGCACAGCATATTAATGGTAACTGGTGGTATCTGAAAGTCAAACTAACTAGGTAACAAGTCTCAAAAGGCAAGATATCATTAATCCAGAATCTAGATTATTAAATTAAGTTTATTTATATCCCTGACATTTCCCTAGAGGAAATTTCTATTATCTCTAATTCAGATTGTTGGCCTGGCAAAAGTAAATACAGACTTTTTGAAATTTGGTTAAAAAAACATAGGTTCTTAAATTTCCTTTCTCTTACAGAAAGGAAACTTTTATATTCAACTTATAAAAACATCTTTTTAATAACAAATTGCTTTCAGATTTCATAAAAACAAACAAGACTGGAAAAGCTTCACATGTCATAATTTCATTGTCGTTAGTGGTCCACCCTACTTTGAAATAAAATTTGACAAAATCATTCAACTGATTCTCTCTTCCATATTGTAAAATGTTTTGCAAAATAGACCTTAAAGTCAAATAGCATTTTTCTTTTCTTTTTTTTTTTGTTGTTTAAATTGGTTTTAATGTTTATTTATTTTTGAGAGAGAGAGAGAGAGTAAGCACAAGATGGGGAGCAGCAGAGAGTGAGGGAGACACAGAATCAGGCTCTAGGCTCTGAGCTGTCAGCACAGAGACTGACATGAGGCTCGAACTCATGAACTGTGAGATCATGATCTGAGCCAAAGTCAGACACTTAAAAGTTTGAAAATAATATTAATAACATAATTGAGATACTTCTGGAAGGCTAAAATATTTCCAAGTTTTCATAGAAGCTAGAGAAAAGATCACTTTAATGTGAAACTGTAAAAGAAATCATAAATAACAGATTGGGGACACAATACTGACTTGAATAAAATAATACCAGTAACATATATTCCGCTACATGTTTAAAAAAAGGTGGGCCATATTTCATGATTTATAAACTTCTCTTGCTACCTCCAGATTATGCAAGAGCACATGACAATCACATTCTCTTAATGGATTGGAAGAGTTGTTTTCACCATACCTTAAAATTACAAATAATTATTAAGCCTCATCAAAGATGCCTACCTCCATAGTAGCAGTCATGTGACATGTTTACAGGAGCTCGTTCTACTGCTGATCTCTTGTAGACAACATGAATCCTTCCTTTTTCTTCTTCCATCTGCTTACCTCTTTCCAAAGGCTCAATGAAATACTCATCATTATCACTTTTTATCATTCCAGCCTAGAGAAAGCATAAAATGTGTTAATTTTGAAAAGAAGTATCTGTCATCGTTAGCTTACAAATACCTTTTTAGATGGCAATAATATAATTTGTGAAAACGAATGCTTTTTCTTTCTACTTTTGGCTAAAACTTTAAAATGGTTAAGTAATTCATAGAAGGCAGAAATTCATATATGGTAGGAATAAAATAAGTCATATAAGGTATAAAAAAGAACTTTAGGGTAAGAAAAGAAAATTACACAACATATAAATTGCATCAGACTGCAGAAAAAGTGCATTTATATATTCTACTAGTATTTTATGTGTAAAAGAAATCTTATAGGGGTAATAAATTCAAGAAATATTTCTTATATCCCATAATAATCTGCTGTACATGCATGTTTAGTATTTTCTGTAACTCATTTACATTGTCCTTCTATATCGTTATGGTATAAGAATGAGTTCCATAGTGCATTCAATAAATAAACATATTTATTTATTAAAGAGGCTACTTTAAGTAGCCTCTTTAAGCTCCAGTAGAAACCCTGCATTTCTAATATTTATTAACTTGAAGAACTAACTCCTATCTGTCCTATCTTAATCTAACTTGATGATTTTATTCATACTTTTTCCTCAAGTTTCATCCTTCCATACTCAAAGGTTATCCTTGTATTCATTGCCTTCTACCTCTCTAATATTTAGTCTTTTTTCTGACTGTTTCATCTTTTATTTAGGAAAAACCAGGACTATATTCAGTACTAGAGCTGAACAGAAATGATGGTTTTGTCTGAAACTGGTTCGTTAGGTGTCAAGTCCACATTATAGTCAAACAGTTACAGCTTATATTTCCACTTTAAGGGTCATATATTAATAGGTAGTATTAATTTAAATTTCAGTACATTTGAAAACCAAGTTGAACAAATAACGTGTTAGTGTGGGAACTATAATTATTTTGGAAATACACATTGGATCTAGAAGTCATATGTTTTATCGGAGGCCTGTAGCTTATTCTATATTTTCAAATATGGGATCACTGGCTCTCATAGAACATAGGCTGGGCCTGAGGGATTCTCATCCCCTCTAGCTGTTGATCTAATGGTTCCACCACTCTCTGTTGAGCAACACAGAAACAAAAGGTAGCTACATGCTACCAAATAGCATTTGTTTTCAGCAAATGTGCCTGTGACTGTAGCCTTTCTATTGCGTTCAACTCTATTCCCTAGTTTCCATTCTGACTTCTTCTACCTGGTTCACTCTGTCCCCTCCTTCTCCTGTATAAGCCCTACAGGGAAATCTTAGAAGCTAAGGTGTCCCCACATGCACATCTACACCCACCCTCCTGCTGGTCACAAACAGCCCTTGAACTTATGTGACCATGTCTCACAAGAAAACATCACCACACCTCCTTCACCATGCTTAGTCTTTAGCCCCTTGAAAAACTTCTAGCCTTCACTAAAAAGAACACTGAGCTAATGGGTATTCAATAGTAATGCTGGTCTTCCAGACACAACTCCCATATCTAGAGTTGTTTTCTCATCTGGTCAATTATTCTTCCGCTACTCCTGTACTGTGAAATGCAGTTTTTTACAAGAGGCCTGATTAGATTTTTACCCTACTGTCAATGGATCCCCTCTCCAAATATAATTTCCAACATTTTTCTCATGATTTTCCATTGTCATTTTAATCTACTTAGCATTGGTGCCCTATTCTTATATCTCTTTTTACCAGTAATTTCAACTTCACTCTTTTTGCCCTTCTCAGTCATGTATGTTTTAATAATGTTCATAAAACATATCCCAACTAAGCACAAACACAGTATATATATAATGCATTAACCTGCAGTGCCACATCCAAGGCTTAAATGTCCAGTCACATCACTAATGCCACCCATTGGTGGTAGGCAGCAGTAATTGGCTTTATCTCGAAAACACTGGTCTATTGATACACATTTAAGTTTACAAATTGAGGTTTATCAGCATAAGGCTTCAGTATTCATCCTTGTTCTAGTTCTAGTCTTTTCTTTACCCCAAATCCATCTAGTCACCATATTCTATAAAGTTTTTGACTCTTTTATCCCATCCTTCTATTTCCACCATCACTTTCTTAGTTACAGACCTCATCATTGTTCATTTGGATTACAGAAACTGCCTCCTATCTTGAGACTTTCCATAAATCATAATGATTCTCCCAGATGAGCGCCTGACTGTGGATGGAAACAGTGGTCACTGAAGCAACTCTGAGCAATGGGCAACAGCTAGTGGGGACACTTGGAAGTGATGGGGAGGCAGCGAGGATTAGCTCATATGCCTTTAAAAAACATTTCTACATACCTCCTACTGCAAACATTCAAATCCCAGGCCCCACGATATTACTTTCCCCACTAAGCCAGATTCCATTTCCTGGCTTTCTTTTTGCAGTTGGCTGTGAACCATGTTACTGTATCCTACCCAGGAAAGTCAGTGGTAGTGGTGAATACCAAGAATAGGGCTAGTGCATAAAAACCTCCCATGCGGGCTTCCTTATGCTGTTTCCCTTATAACTGGGCACACACAGGTAACACAAAAAATTTGATATAGCTCAACTCCTCCCTTATAAGGCAATGAAAATTTAAGCCAGGTTGAGGTGATACCAATGACAAGGCGATGCTGGGTCAATGCTGGAGGTCACAGAGACCTCCAAAAACTCTATGGACAAAAATTCAGAAAGCCTATCCTATTATTCCTTAACTTAAGCAAAGTTTAATGAAAAAAGAAGTTTATCTAAAGCACTATACTAGACACCATAGTAAATAAAAAAGCTTTTCAAATATATGGTCTGCTTGCTCTCTAGTTTAGGGCTAGCTAGTCAAATAATAAAATATATATTCCTAAAGGTATTCAGTGAGGTAGATTATGGTAAGTCCAAAAAGGAAGTGATATGCACTTGAGAGCCAAGTGAAGTGAGGTTCCCCCCACCACAAGCTTACTATACACAGCAAATTGTCAGTTGGAGCTGTTGATTCTATACCCCAAATTATCTAAAATCTATTTCAACTAAAATCTCTCCAGTCCTCATGGGGACTTCACTTAAGCCACTGCTATTGTTCACACTGTCTCACATTCTCAAACAGCACAGCAGCCAAAATTGCTCTTTCACACTATCATAGTATTTTAGACAAACTAGAGTGTGATAACGAATGGACAGAATGTGTAATGGCTCAACACATGAGGAGCTTCGCTCTTGTTCACATAAAAGCTCAGGGCAGTTCTAGGTCGGCTGAGAGGGGATTCTATTCCATACAGCTAAGCAGATGTCCAGGGTGACCGCGGCTCTACCATTTCAACATGCACTCTCAAGTTTGCCCATTCAGAGGGGACACAGCTTGAGGAGCCCACATGGGAGATTTTTATGAGTTAGTCTTAGTGAGGGGCTATTCACCACTATTTACCACGTAGCTATTCACCACTATTACTCACTTCTAAGTATAGGATAGAGTCACTGCAAAGAGTAACTGCAAAGCCCACTGCAAGCGGAACCCGGAAATGGAATCTGGCTGTGTGCCCAGGGAGAAAAAGACAAATGGATTTTAATGAACAGATGGCAATCTCAGCTTCAAATAAGATCCTGTCACGCCTTTTCTTAAAACATTTCAATTGCTTCCCATTGCACTTAAAACCACACTCCTTACTATGGCCTTCAAGGCCTGCATCATCTGGCCCTGCCATCAACCCCAGGCAGCGCCACTCCCACCAGACTTACTATGCTCCAGCCTTCGGGGCCTTTGTTCAGTTTCATTTTTCCTGTGATATTCCTAAACTCTTTTCAGCCGCAAATGTTTGAAATGTTTTCCGTTCTACTTAGAAGGCTCCTCTCCCACCACATCACACTTCCCTTAGCTGGCTAATTTTCATTCTCCGGGTCTCAGCTTAAATGTTATCTCCTTAGAAATGACTTTCTGACTTCCTTATCCCTTCCTACATTAGGTACCCCCATCTAAATTAGAGCCCAGCTCAGCCCAGTGTTCTGACCCAGAGTGGTGTGTTCTTTTCTCTCAGAGTCTTTAACACAAATTCCAGGTTGTTTTACCTAAATGTTAAATTTATTATCCTCTGTCTCCCCCACAGCACTCAGCTCCTGAGGCACACTCTCTTCTTTCGCCTTGGTCTCCGTAAGCAAGCACCAGCACAACTGCTAGCACAAAATATGTTTTCAACACATTTTTTACTGAAAGACTATAGGAATGAATGGTATAGGTGAAAGGATAACAACTGTCGAGACTTGAGGTGATCTTTGAAAGGTGCAAGGACTGCCTGCCATGCCAGTGGGGTGAGAGAAGGCACTAGAAGTGAGGCAGGTCAGGCTCATGCAAGGTTCTGAAGTGCAAAAGCCCCACACATACGTGAGGACAGTGAGTAACCCACTCATTGGGAGTAGAGTCTGTGTGGGGCAGTTCTGGGAAATGATGCAATGGAGGACTGTGTCCCCTCGAGTCTGAGCTTTAATGTGTAGAACAGAGACCTACCACAACACCAAGTTGATCAGCAGATGAGAAGAAAGTGGCCTGGGAAGACTGATCTGAACACTACCTGCCAGAGGCAAGAAAAGCTAGAAAGCAAGCAACATGGGGCTAAGTAAAAGCTGAGGTGGCAGAAGAGGCAATGGAAGGAGAAAAGGGGAAAGAAGGGGGATAAAGGAGTGAAAAATACTTACAGAAGAAAATAAATACTTGCTGCCTTTTAAAACCTAAGTCCCTCTGCTTTCACAGACTCCCTTTATGAGGGCCACCAGGCTTTCCCTGCTCTTGGCATCACCACCTCCTGGACCTCTGTCCTTACTCACGCTTCCTTACTCACTTCCTGGCTCCACTCCAACCACAACGGGCTCTCTGCTGATCCTCTCCCCCCCCCCTCCCCGCCCAAGGCATAGCCTAAATGATTGTCCCCCTTTCAGAACATGAGCTTCACCAAGCATGGACTTTGTCCCATTCACTACTGACTCCCTGGGCCCAGAACAGTGCCTGGGCCAAAGTAGGCGCCTAATAT